CCCCCCCCCTCACTCCCTCCCTCGCTGAGTCTTTATCCCTCTACATCTTCTCTCGACTCTCCCACCCCTTTCGCTCCTCTCTCCAGTCGCCGTTTCCTCGCGAGAGTTTACGAAGATAAGTTTCTTTATGGAGTTTTCCATCTTGACTAATTTTTCATTAATTAAAATGGGAGGATAAATAGCGGAGAATATACAATTTGAGGAGATGAAAGGGGGCGCTGAGAGGGTACAGGTGGATGGATTGAGAGAAACAAATTATGCGAGTCAAAGAAATGCTTTTTATTTTCAGGTCTTTGCGTTTGTGGAGTGAGAGATTGGGTTCATTGATTAGAGGAAGATTTTTTGTGGGGGGGCGGGACGGCGTGTTTGAGTTAATGCAGATTATATCTGGGGGAGGGGGTAAGGGGCTGGGGAATAATGTTGAAGGTTTTTTTGGGGATTATGGAAATGTTTGAAAGAGGGGTTTTAATGGTTTGGGTAAATCAGGTAGTGTCGCGATGATTCGACAATTCATAATTATTGGGTTGGGTGGGATGGATCAGGCGGGAATGCATGATCTTAGGGTCTCGGCGTTGAACGGAATATTGAATTAATTGTCTGTCGTTGTAAATCTGCCAAATATCAACACGACATTTGAGGATTTAGGGTCTCTAACTCGAGAAAAAAATTATCGTGTATCCTTCGATTTATTGTTAGAAATAAAATGAAATTCCAGTGGACAGTGGACTGAACATTCTTCAGACACTAAAAAACGTCTGAATAAAATGACAATTTGTCTGAATTTCAGACGAACAGGTGCCTAAACATCTCAATTCATGTTTGAAATTCAGACAAATTTTCATTTTAGTCAAACGTTTTTTCGTGTCTGAAAAATGCCTACAAAAGATGTGTGAAATTCAGAATATTCAGTGCTGGATTACATTGAATTTTCAGTGAAATATGAAATTTCATGATTTTTTCCCCCTAAATCGCAGTCAGTGTCACTGTCCTGAATTTTCAATTCAGCTATTCATTATCAGGAAAAAATGGAACTGAAATTTACAGTTCTCTCCGATTTTTCCGCGAAATTCTGAATTTCCAATTCCTTGAAATTTCAGTGGTAATTAAATTCGATAAAAATTTCAAAAAGTCTACCGGAAATTCCACACAGAAATGTTAACAGTGCAGCTGAATAGAGCCCGACTCTGGTTACCCGAGTTATTGAAAAAAAATTGAAAAAGAACGAAAAAATCATATCTCCAAAATGGGCTGTCGAAAAAATCTGAAAAAAATTGAGATTTCCTAAAAATTGGATTTTCTAAATCAATTTCCAAAAGGGTGAGGGTCAGCCATCGACTCATTTGGCATAAAATACAACGATGCGCTCATAATACCCCTTATAACCCACATTTCCCAAATTTAACTTCATTTACATGATTGATGTCTCTCCCACCCTCCCCCACCCCCGCGGCCTTCCCTCCTCTCTCTCTCTCTCTCTCTCTCTCTCTCCAAACTCTTGAGATTTCTATCGCGTGATTGAAAACGGCAACTGACGGAGTACCGGTGCAGGATAAAAGCCGTCGGTCGCGGCTTCGAATCTCCCATTCGCGTTTTTCCTCTATTTAATTTTTCCTCTCTTTTTTCTTCTCTTCCCTCACCGGTATATTTCCTGGGTCCCAGGGCCGGTCTCGCGTCCGCTCACGTATCACCTTGGCACACGTAGTCTCCCCCGTGGGTTCGCTCGCATGAATCTCGCTGCTTTAAATCTCATCCCATACATATGTAGGATTACTGATGCCCCTCACCTCCGCTAACCACCCCCTCCCCCCCCCCCCCCCCCCCCCCCCCCCCCCCCCCCCCCCCCCCCCCCCCCCCCCCCCCCCCCCCCCCCCCCCCCCCCCCCCCCCCCCCCCCCCCCCCCCCCCCCNGGGTTGTACACGCACGCATCGGTACAAGAGATTGCTTGTGCAGCGTGTGGCGCACCAGAGTGGCCAAAGAAATGCCGGTGTATGCTGATCATTAGAAAATACTGGAGGAAGCTCATTATAACGCTCATACCAACTGTACATACGTCGCTATTTGATGAGCTGGGAGGAGAGGGGAAGGGGTGGGGAGGGGAAAGGGGGAGACTGCGGTTTATGGGGGTTTTAATTGATTATGTTACGCTGGTCCGGTGAGGAATGCTTTTGATATCTAATGGAGATGATTTATCTGATGAATTCGGTTTTTTATTTTGAGGGATCTGGCTGTGGCGTGAGGTGGAGCTCGGAGGATGCTCAAGGACTCGGAACATTTTTTTCCGGTTGGGATACGGTCTGGAATGATCGATGGAAAATAGAGATCGAGAGGTACGAAAATACGGACGGTGTTAAACATTTTTGTCGGGAATTCTGCGGTGCATTTTTTGAAAATTTTTGTGGAATTTAATTATCAATGAAATTTCAATCCCTAGAGACTAACTTTTGGGTGAGTTTGTCTTCGGATATACCTTAAAGTGTATCGATATAAGATGACGCGTGACGTATGCCGGACGCGGCCGAGATGTATCGAAGCCGGCCGAGGCATTCCCAGCGAAATCCGTCGACTGGGGAGGGGGAGGAGGAGGAGGAGGAGGAGGAATACGTAAACATAAATAAACAAGTGGTCCTTTGTCTCGTTTTTGGTACCGAGTTTTTTTTTCGGAGCACTGAGAAAAATAACGGAAACTTCGGAAAGGGAAGTGGCGAAAATGTATGTAGTTGGAGTGCTAGTTGGCCGCGGAAGTGGCTGGGAAAGGATGGGCGAGGTTGGGAGGGGGAACGGGGGGTTGTCAGGGTTTTTACCCCTTCTCTCGAGCTGCGCCCAGAGGGGCACTTAACATTAAGAGCACTGTCCGCGACAACGGCACATCCAATTATAAGTGCGAAATTCATTGTTCGTACACTTGAAACTCTGCCAAGTTGACGGGGGTGAGGTGAGGGAAGGGGAAGGGGGTGGGATGAATTATGCGGAGAGGTATTGCCCAGCGGCGCCAAAAATTCCGCGCATTCGGAAATATTTAACAGAGGGATTTCCCGGTGTTTTCGGGATTTAGTGGGGGAGGGGATCGATGTGATGGATTCATTTGAGGAGGAGGTGGGGGAATTTCTGAGAATTTGGAGATCAGGGGTTCATCGGAAAAGAGATTTCAAGCCGAAATAATGAGATTTCTGACAGTAAATTGATGGATTTTGATAGAATATATATAACTATAATTTTAGAATACATATAATTATGTATTATTATGATTTTTTTATCCTATAATTGACCTTGTGCTGTTCACAGAGAAAATTATTTGCTAAATTTCACAAACTAGTTGGCAATTCATTTTTTTACCAAAATAAATAAACAAATAAAAAAAAAAATGATTAAATAAATATTTTTT